TTCTTGCACCAGTTTGAACTACAGTCCTTGGCGTGGGGCTTGGGAAGCATGGCTAGTTGTTGGGTGCTGTAAGGACCTGTGACTGACAAGAACACTCCATAGGGTTTGTTGGTTTTCAGTCTTTACAAGAGTAGACCTCCAGGTGTTTCTTCCACAGAGTTTTGGGGTGCATTTGAACCCCTCATCCTTATGATTAGCAGCCAAGTACCTGAACCACTTGGACAGCCAGATCGCATTCCCAGTGGGGAGCCCAGATTTAGCCTGCTTCCCCCTGGGTTCTTACTGGATTTGTGCTTGGGAGACCCAGTGAGGAAAGTGACCTGAGTTGCAAAGGGAGGGGGGAGGTGATTGAGCAACTGTGTCCCAAGCCAGACCAAGCTGAGGGCTCAAGGGCCCCCTAAGTGGGGAGGAGGTGGAAACAGTTAAAGGGGCAGAAGCTCTTGGTGTGGGGTTGGAGAGAGAATGTGGAAACCAGCCCAGTGTCAGACTGCAGAGAGGAGGAGTGGGCCATTTGGCACTTCTGATACCGTGTTGGTCCTTGGTTCCCTCGGAGTGCATTTATAGAGTTGCCAACAGATAGAAACACCCTTAGTACATTTTACATTTTTTTAAAGCGCAGGGGGGTTTGTTGTTGTTTTTTTGTTTTTTAAGAAACTGAGCATCTCTAGCCTTGATCTGAGTGTGGATGTCTCTTGCTTGATGAGCAACCATCACCACCATCCCAGACTCCTGGCAAGCGAAGCGAAGGAGCTGCATGAGCAGAAATAGAAAGTGGGGTCGGCTTTTCATCAATTAGATGTCCCTCGTTATTCTCACTTATGTTTCCTTGTGTAACTTTTCTGTCACAAAGAACAAGCCAATCTGTGTGTCAAAGAAACAGTGTTGTTTCTTTGGATAGAATGATACTCAGCTGCCTTTCAGCAGCTCATTATTGTCTTGGCCAAGTTCTCATTTACTCCTTGGCTCAGAAGGCTGGGCTCTCTGAACTGCAAGTGGCATGTTGTCCTGAGAAAATGTCTAGAGATGAGTGTCCTTTTAATGAACTTGGCACTGAAATAATAGGGAAAGCTAGGAGAGAATTACAGAATGTTTGAGCTGGGGGCTGTTACAGAAACAACCTTGTTAAACTCCTTCACTTTATACAGCTTCCTGAGAGGGTGGGCAAGGGAATTTGCCCAAGATCGGATGAGTCATTTGTACAACCAGGATTAGAATCCAAGGATCCTTATTTCTAGACAAGGACTCCCGTATTTTTACAACATTTAAATGTGTTGTTTCTTGGTTTGTTTAGGTCTTAATTTGGATCCTTAATATTATGAAAGTGAGTAATGTCTATTTCTGGAGCCCTAGACAGCAATCTGAAGCTCTGCGTGTCAGTGGATGGAAAATAGCAGGAGTTATCACAGTTTGAGATTCCTGATGAACATAACCCCTGCCTAGCATTTTGGGGTTCCCACATCTCCCCCAAAATTTTTATTACTCCAGTGTTACAAATGTGCTCACACTTTATTTTCATCTTCACCTTTCTCAGCTAACTTGCCCGTTGAAACAATAACTGTCATTTGGGGAGTATTTACTCACATCTCTTTCGATCTGTTCTCTATCTGAAAGACATGGGGAGAGGGGAGCCTTTCTTAGCCTTTATTGTATCCCTTTAGAACTTTTACAGGCAGATGGTCTAAAAAGAATTCTATAACATTGTAAACTCCATGAGGGCAGAGAATGTTTTTGTTTTATTTACTATTGAATCTTCGAGTACTGTTAATGTGATATCTAGTACCAGTCACATAATAGAGGATAATTTTTTTTGTCGATTTATGCTTTATTGACTATGCAAAAGCATTTGACTGTGTGGGTCATAACAACTCTTTTTTACACTATTTTTTAATTATTAATTTTAATAAATATTTTGACTGTGTGGGTCATAACAACTCTTTTTTACACTATTTTATAATTATTAATTTTAATAAATATTTATAGAGATTTTGGATTTCCATCCATTCATTGTTTCACTTTTCTCCCTGCCCACCCTTCCCTCCATTT